GAGAAGGAGAAGGAGAAGGAGAAGGAGAAGGAGAAGGAGAAGGAGAAGGAGAAGAAGACAACCAGCAGTAAAGTGGATGGGCTCAGTTACAGTGGCAATGAGTGCACTGTTGGAAGACCTGAAAGACCAGGTTAGGGACAGATTGTCATGGAGAAAAACAATTTATGTGGTTGCTAAGTGTTGACAACGATTTGACGGCATATAGTCAATCAATCAATCAATCAATCAATCAATCAATGTCCTTAATCTGGTTGTCCTATTAGAAAGATTCACTTCTTAGCTAAGCCCTTTTTTGTTCTTTTTGGATTCTTCCTTGCCATGAAAGTTACTGCTTCTTCCTTTACTGATTAGGATCACAGTTCACTTTCTTCCTTCCAGGTCAGGTTCATATATGTTGGGCAAACATTGCTTCTTAATTTTGTCTTTATTTTTCAAAATTATGTCAAATTTTTCAGGTAGCGAAGTTCTCCTCCCGCCATGCCCTTCAGAATGTTATAATTGCATTCCCACAACATGGTGTCAGCTTCAGAATGCAACCAGACCAAGAAACAAACTCCACGGATGTCTAAAACTATTTTTATTAAGATGGACTATTATAACAGAATCTTGCAAGTCTAATTATGCTTTGCCTCCTCTCTTTCTTATCCTTTTGTGAATTAGGGGGGTGTCTGTCTGGGATGTTTACACATACCTTCTTCTTGTTTTGGACTCAAGCCATGAGTCTTCTTGTTGGTTTGTTAATGAATTTCTCCTCTCTCCATCAAGGCCATCTTCTTTACTCTCTACATGTCTGTAGCCTCTACATCACCTTCCCAGTCATCCTCAGTACTGCCCCGCCCTTCCCAGAAACTCTGAATCAGGGTTATGGGAATGAACTTATGTGCTGCACCCCTCCTCTACCAGCAGTTCCCCTAGAACACTTGACAAGTCCTGTAATGCAGAGGTACTCTGAGAAGGTACTTCCTATCCCCTTTCTTCCTACTGTGCAGGTCACTCTTCATCTTTCCATTCTGGCAGTTCTTGCATCCCACACCTCCAGTCATGCAGCCCTGATGTGGATGCAGTTGGTATAGCTTCTCTGTCCCCCACTTGTGTCCCTGTCTGCTCTGTGACCCTCTCCTACCTAGAAAAGTCAAACTGTTGCCCATTCTGAGATGTACAGGCCTGTTGTGATAGTGACAGTTCATGTGGATGGGGTTTCCCTGGGCATTGCAGGTAAAACTGGTGCACCAATCGTGGGGCATGTATGTCGGTTGTGTTCTCCCATGATTCTCTGACTCTGGGTAGCCTTTCTCCTGGATCAGATATTCCAAACATTTCCTCTTCTGTCTAGAGTCCAGAATAGCCTCCACTTCATACTCTTCTCTATCCATCAGGATGGGGGGAGGTGGAGCTGTTGTAGTTCATAAGGGGCAGGGGGGCACCTCCCATACAAGCAGCAGGATGGAAAACAGGATGAATCTTCATTGATGCTGGCAGCTGCAAACAAAAGACCACTGGGTTTATTTGTCTTACCACCTGAAGGAGGCCAATAAACTTTGAGTCTAGTTCCTTTGAAAGTCAGGCAGGAGACAGAAATTTTGTAGAAAGCTATATGAAATCCCACTTTAGCACCCTCTTTCCTGTGTGTGTCTGTGGCCCACTTTATTCTGACTTTGCTAGATCTAGCTGCTCTTTTAAGAGGCCTCTCTTGTAGGACATGTGAGGCACAAGGAATTGTTGATTCTTGAGGTGTGGAGGGCAGCATGTGGAGGTGATTGCTGTAGTTGCCTGAAATGGAGACATGCCAATGGAGGATGGAGGAATGTACTGCATTGTTGTACCAATAGAGGAACTGTCGTAGGCAAATTCTGCAAGCAACAATCTTTCAGACCAGTTGTCTTGTTGATAGGACATGTACCACCTTACTTACTGCTATAATAATTGATTCGCCTTTTCGGCTTTTCCATTTGATGGCAGATGATATGGGGATGATAAAGGAATTTTAATGTTTAATAATGGGAAAAGAACTTGGAGGTAAATTATGACCTGTGATCCAAGATCACATGATTGACTAGGCCTCTGTTTCTAAAAACAGTCCAAAAAAAGTTGTGCAGGAGGCCTTTGCAAGGAATGAAATGAGCCAGCTTTGTAAACAAATCCACCATTACTAGAATAATGGTACATCCATGTACTGGGGGAAGATCGGTAATAAAACCCAGTGATATAGTGTCCCAGAGACACTATAGAAGGGGCATCTAGAGGTTGCGGCAAGCCAGCTGGCTTTTCAGGAACAGATTTTGCTCTGTGGCATACATAACAAGATGAAACATAATTCTTGACATCTGCCCTCACCCTTGACCATCAGAAGTCCATGTCTAGCCATTCTATTGTTGTGGCAAAGTCATAATTCTCTTCCCTTAAATAAATGAGAACATACAACTAACCATTGTGCAACATTTGCCCTCCTCCACTTTTCAATGGTGAAAAATTGTCTTGTGGATCTCCCTGGAGGTCATCCATCTGAGCCCTGGTGTGTCATGCTAGTGCTGAGCTTTAATCTGACCTAAGAGAACAACTGCCTATCTCCAGCTCCCAGTCTTTCTTTCTGGAGGATCTGACTTCTGCGGGGGACTCAAACTTGCTCTGTTGCTGTATGTTGCTGGGGGAGGTGAGTAGAGGAGGTCATATTCAGGCTTATGGGATATGGCTTTGAGAAGTTTTTTCTGTGAGCCAGAGATATAGGAGATATAAAAATAAAGGGAGAAAAATTATGCCCACATGATTTGTCAAGGAGTGAGGGATTATGCCTTCTGCCTTGTAGACATTGCCTCCATTGTTGGAATGCTATTTTTATTGCACACATCTCCTTATTGAAGATGCCATAGTTTCATTCTATACAGAAGAAGATCTGTTCCTCCCCCACCCCCCCAAATATTTCTTTGCCTGGAGTCAGGGTACTTGAGCAGCAGCTATAAAGCAAAGAGCTCTTTCAGTTCTTGAAACACTGTCTGCTCTTGAGTAGACCATATGAACTTATGAAGCTTTTTTAGCAGTTGAGACAGTGACCTTATGCAACATTCAAAAAGATAACTCTTCCATGAAATCACCTTTCTGACCTGTTGGCTTGTACATAGTACTAAGTTTTCCAAACACTGAAACAAATTAGGGGTACAGCTTAGAGAAGGGAAGCAAATCAAGCAACAGTTTTTAAAATAGAGCTGTGCAACGACCACCCAACATTTGGTGGTGGAACTCCTGCTTTAGAAGTAACCTGGTTTGTCTTATGCTGGGGAGGGATGGAGGGATGGAGTGTGGTATTACTATTCTATTTTTAAAAAATCCATCCCAGTAGTGTGGATTCCTTCCCTTCCTTCCTTCCTTCCTTCCTTGGACAAAGGGTTCATTGCCCAACCACTGAGAACTGGTTAGATACTTTTTCGCTGCCTGCTCGGGAAGGAAGCTGGGCCAGCCTTATGTCAGGTTAAGGATTAGTGGGACATTAAAGCAAAACAGAACAAAGCCAAAACCTCCTGGGCTGTAGTGTGGATTGTCCACCCCTGAGCTACAGCCTCCTAGACTCTGCCAGGAAGACTGGAACTGTGCCCTCCTCCTCCTCCTCTTGATAGAAGAGGTATCTTGTTCTCTATAGGGGTGACTACAGAGAGGTTCCAGATGTGTTGTGTTAAGGTGACCAGACCTGGACTTCAGAAATCCCAATGGTCACTAGATGGCAGCAAAGAAATACAGAAAAAAATTGGTGTTGCCATCTATGGGTCTCATGGAGCTTTGCAGCCCATTGTTGGAAGGCCTAACATGAAAGATCTCATCACTCTGTTTGCCACTGATAGCAGTCTTTTTACAAGGATTCTGCGAGGACGACCTTTGGTTGAGTGCACTGCTCTGGAAGTAACCGGATCTTCCTTATGTCATGAAAAACAAATCATCATCAGTGACAAACAACCATAGTCTGCTATTACCATTTTAAGTTGTCAGATAACGAGATGATAGGCCTAACATGAAGCAATAATCTCACAGCCTCTCTGCTGAGATATTGGAAACCAGTACACTTGTGTGAAGGCACATTAGAAATAGGGAATTTATCTGGTTGGACATTGGCAGGTTTGCATATTCTGAATCGAAAGGAAAGCCAGATCATGATTATATCTAGCTATTTGTATCTAGGTACTGCTTTTCTGTAGACAAAAAGGGATATATTAGGGGAGGGTAGATATATGCACTTCAATGTGAAGATTAATCTTTCTTTACAAACTTGGAAATTAATAGAGAAACAGCATGGACTAAACCTTATATAGAAACAAATGGAGAAAAGCCAAAATAGAAAGTTTTACTCTCCTTTAACAAAGTTTGAAGGCAAAATACCCTTCTTCTATTTTTCCACCTTCACAGTCACCAAGGGAGAAAATGGTGAATCTAAATCAAGGGCTATGCAGAGTCTTATTCAGAACCATGGAATTCAAAGTTTGCAGCCACGAGTCCATTCTGAGAGATCTTTTCCTTTGCAGTATTTTCACCAAGCTACCCTAAAAGTCAAAATAAAAATATTATGTATCTTAGTACATTGGACAGGCTTAGCAAGAATATAAGCTACAGGATACAGGATAAGATATTAATAAGAAATGGACTTACCAGGCATCCATCTTATTGGGATCACACACAATTCTTTTAGCACAAGCAATATCATCTGTGATG